AGGTGAAGATGTTCACAAAGTCATTTGTACCTAATGTATCGAGTATGGTATTGACAACATGCTTTGCGATATCTAGCCTCTGTCCCAACATTGAACCGGATCCATCCATCAGGATAACAATATCCTTCGGACTCGTCGCCGCCTCCATATACCAGGAGCGTAGTCGGCAATCGTATAGATCGACCGGTACGTCCTTGCGCCACTTCGATGCAGGAAATTGGCGCATAAAGCCAGTCGAACTGCCAAAGAATTGCCACGACAATGTGGGATCGTTTTTGTAATTGTCGCGGAATATCTGATCCAGATTCTCCGACCACTGAATCGCCTTAATCACATCCGGTGCTGTGTCGTGTGATCGAGTGTGTTAATTGGTCATGTAATGATGATAATCGTTTGTGAGTCATGTCAAAAGAAATGGGAAGAATTTAGCAAGAAACACGATTAGTTATCCTCATCTGCGGTCGCGCACTTAATCCTAGTTTAGTTTATTTTACGGGCTCTCAGGAGTTTTTCTTTTTTGGGTTCGTGTTCTGGTGGCTCAAGTTGGGTGTTATACGGTTTTTGGCAAGCATTCCGCGTGTGTCATTCGGCAGTGGAGCATTCGCATTCGCATTTTTGCATTCCCCGGCGCAAAACGCGAGCGCGTCGTCAACGTGCGCATTGCACCGCCAGCGGCCCCGATCGGTCAATCGGTAAGATCGGTCTATCTGCTAGATCGGTCTATCAGTTATCGGTAAATTGCCAAGGTCGGCGGGTCATTAGGTACAGTGGGTGGGCCGGGCGGCGCAATGCGCTGCTTGACGTGTGCACGCGTCCCTCGCACGCATTGACGCAAGCGGTTTGGAAATCGAAAAAAACAAAGATAAAGGAGGCGCAGCTTACGGCTTTATATTATACATTTTGTATTATAATATAAAGTTTATATGGCATAAGAAAAAAATTAATTTTACGGTCAAGCGAGCTAGCAAACAGCTAAGGAGCGAGATAGATAGAGATCAAGCTAGCTATAGGCGATTTCAATATTCTACTTTTTGGCAGCTAGACAGAGACGAGAGTGTATCGTTAGTAAATAGCTCGTGTTTGATTCAAAAGCATTAAATACAACCCTGGGTGATCGAGTTCGGGGTGTTATATGATCTTATTTAGAAGGTTTTAAATACAATTTTATTCTACATTGCTTTGTATAATTTATCATATTGTATTATAATATATTTCGTTAATTATTTACTTCAATTTATCTGCACTGAAATATTATTTCCAAAAAATAGACAACAATTGAATAGACCGATTTTTATGTCATAGTTTTAGTGAATATCGTAGTTTTCCAATTAAAATCTTATTTAAATAGAATAGAAAAAAAAATATTAGAGGAAGTTATTTTTGAAATTAGAAACTTAGTACCCCGAACTCGATCGCATTATAATTATACAGGGTCGTTAGAAAAAGACAACACACGCAGGCGACAAATACGTTTACAATTACATAGAGCAAAAGAGAGATAAATACAGAGAGAAAGAGATAGGTGGAGAGCGGAGAGAAGAGATACACGGATTATAGTGATGAGTATTATTCCAAACCTCGATCGAACACATTGACTGGCACATGGACCGAGCTGACGCTGAAGTTGACCGGTGTGTTGTGGAATTCGGGACGTGGTTCCAGCACCACCACCTTTGGCTGAACGTAGATCAGCGGTTCGCCTATATCCTTATCCATATCGGGCGCCGGGGTGGGAATGGGTGGTACGGGATCGTTGGGCTCCAGCATCTCCTTGGCACTGTAGTAGGAGAACATCTTGTCCGCCATATCGTTCTGATGCGACAGAGCCGTGTTCTCAGCCGTGTCCATAATACGCTAAAGATAATGGATATATAGATTTCGTTTGATAAACTAATTCTAGGGATCTACTTACCCTCACTGCACTGACTTTCAGGTCCATCATCATTTCGATTTCCTTGGCCATCGAATCGACGATGGAGGCGCCATTGCGCGAAACGACTTTCGCATCCTTGAAACTCTGTGTGAACATCAATAATATATATTAACCAAATGGTACAAGAAAAATAGGATTATTTCATTATTTCCCCAACCCATTGCCATTCCAAAAGTACAGACATTGCAAGCGGAACCACCCCGTAAAACCCATTTAGAGGCCCCAGTGGGCCCATCGCCAAACACATTTACATGCATATAGAGCATTATAAACAGTTGGCGCACATACGGTTATAACTCATGGGGCAGAAACATTTAATTTGTAAATCCAATTGCGCTGCCTAAAAATAAATTACCAGCTGTGCCGGTCAGCAACTGACCTCATATGGGGAGACGGAGACCGAAAGACGGCTAAGCATTATGGTTTACTGGCTCAGTGTTTACTAGGATACACTCACTTTTGAAAGAACCTCACAGAGTTTCATACGCTCTAAGTAACATTCGTTTAATAATAATTTTCAACTTAGCATTGATTGTTTCTAAATTTTTTGGTACTACATTACTCTCAAAGTTAAGGGAAAAGAAAAATATTTTTAAATTATTCACTAACAGTTTTTCAAAACTTTCTGTAATTAGTGAATTACTATCGTATTTCCTTAACTTGACCAAACTAATTTTTAGGTAATAAAGACACTGCTTTGTAAATAAATCAATAAATAATTACATTTCGGGAAAAAACCATTTTAAAACTCGAACTGATGTTCAGGTCAGATGGGGAGTGGGAGAGGTTAACCTGTAGTGTAACCTTAACCAAAATATAAAATTATCGATAAAAAAAACAATTACAAAATACTATTAAATAGTACTTTAATCAGAGCTCTGTTTCGTAAAGTTAAACAGTAATTAAAACCATAACAACTTCGAACAAGGGAGAGTTTGACCTAGTGACCCATAGTATCCCAGTGCTAACGTTGGTTCAAAGAAAGTTTTAATTAAGTTTGAAATTACCAAGGGTATTAATTGCAACTTCAAATGTCTATTGAAAGATTTTTCAAGAGCATTGGTTGTTCGACCTACTGCCTCACAGTTTCCCATCTGGCTTCTGCTTTACATTTTTTTATAATTGCCGCTCGGGCAGCCTTTAACCCAAATTCGGAGCCGAAGTCTCAGCCTCAGAGAGACGTCAACAAGGAGCGCACAAAAACAGAGCCGAAAACACACACACACACTGCGGGGCGTGGGGAGTGGGAGAAGGGGAATGGGGAAATGTAAATGGAAAATGGGGAAAACGGAGCGGCGGAAAAATCAATAAAATGCTCTCGTCTCACCTCTTGCACCTCCTTGCGCCTGGTGATGAAATCGCCCAGATGAAACAGCTCCGTGCCCAGTTTGTCGGCCCACGAATGAACGCTGGAGTTGGAAAACGGGGATTATGGTATGTGGGTGAAAATCCGGAAAATCGCCGCAGGCACTCACAGATTGTAGTTGATGTTCTCGGCTGGCTGAAGATTGACGCACGGGGCCAAGCAGACCAGGACGGAGAGCAGGCCCAAACAGAGGCGCCACCACGCCAGGAGTCGCGACCAGGCCATGATTCCCCGCGATTCTCTCCTCTGCTTCCAATGATCTACTAACTTCTGATTGATGGAGGTCGATCGAGCGGGAGCGCGACATAAATACCAGGCGATGCGATTTTCTTACCCTACTTTGCAGCTGCACTCACACACTCACAGACACATGCACACACGCACTCGTTTGCACCACATCACATATCCCGTTAGCTCGGTTTTGGCCACCTGCCCTGGCCATCCGGTAACATACCACCCGCGGCGTCACTGGATCCCTTCAGATGCGGCTATATCTCTTACAGTCCCTCAAGCGCAGAGCATTTTATTTGTGGCAATTTTCACGATTTTTCAATGAATTTTTTCAGCAATTTTCTCGCGCGACCCAGCACTTTTCGGTGTGTGTGTGTTGTTGGCCAGCGAAAACTTTTCTCTCTACACTGTCGTGGCCCGTTTTGACGTTTCTTTGACGTTTCTGGTTGAGCTTAAAGCTCTCCACCTGGATTTACCTTAGCCAGAAAGGGATGACCCCTGAGTGGCCTCCTTGGCCATTTGCTGAACTCTTCTAGGGCCCCACTGCGCCTGCTCTGACATTTGACACTTCTGCGCAGTGCACTTGTTTACCTCACGATTCCACGAAATGCGTCCCACAGGTGTTTGTTTACCTGCCAGAGCGCCTGCGTTTGAGCCAAGTTGACGTGCGTGGCCTGGCAGCTGGCCGAGCATCTGTTGCTCCAGCTGGCGAACGGTGACAGTTGGCAGGAGCCGGAGCTTTCTAACCGGAAAACTTGGGGCGGGAGGACTCTAGATGACGTTGGCCAGAAGTAGCATTTAAATTTGGTTGCCAAAGTGCCTAACAGGGGGCGCGTTTGCTGGTAAGAAAGGACATTTTTAATAAAGTTGTTTCTCCTTGCAAAACATAAAATCTGAAATTCTATTATTATTAGAAAACTATTAATTCAGTGTATTGATTTTTACTATACAATTGTTCTATAAAATCGTTTATAAATATTATCAAAAGTACGTTTCTCATAAAACTTTGCAAATAGTCTTCTTCGACCTACTACATCATATAGCTCCCATAGGAAGAATCGGGAAATACAATTTACGATGTTTTGTAAAAAGGCTAGAGTCCATAAATTTACCCAATTTGTTTAGATTGTCTATAAATCTGCTTTTAAACTTGTAAATTTAACGTTAATAAATTTTTTGACCACTTTTCATGTTAGTAAAATACCATAAGGGAAAATATCTTAAATTGTATTATACATTCTAAGGACAAGTTCAAGTTTCTCTAAAAAGTGGTTGAGCAAGAGCTTTTGCAAGGACGACTTCTAGAGGGCGTTTTATTATATCGTAAAGCTCAGGATTAAGCCATAGTCCAGGAAATCAAACGCCAGTGGTCGCTTTAGTTTATCAATACTTTTTATTGGTATATCGTAAGGCTTACACGTTTCGCAAGATATGTGACCCCAGCTGACCCAGTCGAAGCACCACCCACGCCTAGTACTTGTACCCACCGGCACCACCGCCGCCGCCGCCACCACCTCGTGCTCCAGGCTGGGGACCCTGCGGGAAGGTGGCCTCGCCCTCGTAGGTCACGTCCGCGTGGTAGCCCGTCTTCCAGTCGGCGGTGTAGCGGACGATCTGGGTCCGTCCGTCAGGCATCTGGACGCGGTACTCGCCGGTCACCACGTCGCCGTCGCTGGACGCCTTGTGCGCATAGTCGTTGGCGGTCTCCGGATCCTGGACGGCGTACTCGAAATCGTATGGCATGCCGGGCACATGGACATGGTCCTAATATTTAAAATTAAATACCGATTAATATTAATGCTAAAATTAGTAAGTATCTACCCATTTGTTGCCAGAAAATTATTCATTTAAGTTTGTCAATCTTGCAACTGCCATAAAATCATTCAAATGTCTTATATTTCAATAATCTAAAGCTTTAAAAAAAATCTATGACCATATAAATATTATTTTTATTTAAGTTCCTGTACTTGAAATATTTATATTTCAATTAATATAAATTTTTTTGATAATACATTTTAACCAATAAAGACATATTTTAATGTCACAGGTGCATGAGATGAAAAACTATCATTTATTATTTCTATTATATATATGTATATATAACATATTTAAATATATGTTGAAATTATCTAACTGATCTTAGAACTTTGTTGGTAGTCAATAAAAAATGTTTATTTGAGAGGTTCGTAATAATATCAGTTGTATCTCTGCAAAACCAAAATTATATTTGATCTTTTACTAGTTAAGTAATAAGTATGCGTGGTTCATTGCGTAGGTCATTAAATTGAAATATAAATTGATTGAAATTTATTTCAATGGTACATTATCAAGTGATCTTTGATATTTTTTTAATGGCTAACGATTTGTGGGAGTATACTCACATCGCCTGGCTGGCCGGGAATGTTGCGGGGAGTGCCGGGGGGTGCTGGTGGCCGGGGTCCGGGCGCTGATGGTCTGCCAGGTGGACCGGGCTTCTGTGGATTTTCAAATATTTTAGCAAATCAAAAACTATAAAAATGTTTTAAGACAATATTAAAAACTCAAAGTGGTAATCATTAGTCGATGAAAAAGTGCCCAAATAATAATTAATTATATTATAATTATAGCTCTAACTGAGACCTTATTTATTTTGCCAAAAAATATTTTTTTGTTGGCCAAAGGAAACTTGATTTGTTGAACTTCGCGTTATGGAAGTTCACCTGCATTGTGTTATTTTCGCAACGATCTGCCGTTCGCTATTGAGATCTCGAAAGGTTAACTTCCAGTCATTTTCAACTGCCAAAGCCAAAGCCCTTCACCGACCGATTCGAAATGTTGCCATCATTTTGGGCCGACATTCAGCAGCATGACGTGCAGCATTTATTGAGTTGAACCACAGCACTCTGGGTGATAAATGCGGCGACAAATCTCAACAGCCGACTGCCGACTGGAGTTGGCTGCTTTTGCCACTGCCACTGCCTCTACCTCTGCCTGCAACTGGAACTGCTCCCAGAATGATGGCCGTAATTAGTCCGTTGACTGGGATTCAATTTGGGGCGGTTGACCAGGCCACACGGCCAGATAACTCAGATTGGATCTGTACTCACGAATGGGGTCTTGGGCTCCGAGTAGTCGTAGCCGTTCTTGGTGGGCGGGAGGTATGCGTTGGATCCAGGGGCGATCTGGGCGTAGGCATAGGCACTGATGGCAGCGAGGGATAAGCTCTGCAAAACAATATAAAATACAATTTAGTAAATGCTTAATCACCCATAAATCACAATAAAATGTAAAGTTTCCTCTCCCACCAAAGACTTTAAAGATAGTCAGTAAGGTCTAAAATGTCTTCGAATATGTTGTTAGAGATTTCAACTCAAAACAAGAGAGAACGCTATAGTCGGGTGCCCCGACTATCAGATACCCGTTACTCAGGTAAAGGGAGTGCGAGGGAGATGGAGATAGAAACTTTGATCACGCATAACTTTTTAACGAATGGTCCGATTTGAAAAATTTCTTCTACATTTCGATAGGTATTGATAAACACAATAAAACTGCATTTTTACTTTTCCGAAATATTTCAATTTTTAAAATCGAATATAAGCGATTGTGGGAGTTAAAGGGGGCGTGGCACCTTTTTGAAACAAACTTGCGCTGCGTAGGAACTCCTAGAATCTGCATGCAAAATGCCAATCTTCTAGCTTTTATAGTTTCCGAGATCTCAGCGTTCATACGGACAGACAGACAGACGGACAGACAGACGGACAGACGGACAGACGGACATGGCTATATCGACTCGGCTAGTGACACCGATCAAGAATATATATACTTTATAGGGTCGGAAACGCTTCCTTCTAGCTGTTACATACTTTTGCACGAATACAATATACCCTTTTACTCTACGAGTAACGGGTATAACTAATAACCTATTAATCGTAGCAAACCAAATAAATACTAGATTTGGTTTCAACATTTTATAATATTTAAAAAAATACAAGGTTAAGCGAGAAGATAATTCAATACGAAATTATTTAAAGAAAAATAAATTATTTTAATAATTTGTTGTATTTGATATAAAGCTGGTTTTTGCTTCTTTCTTAATTTCAGTTAATAATATTTTATGTATGTCGAAAAATAATTTTGTAATCTCTAAAGTGCACGTATTAGGTTAATTTCAGAGATTTTTCCGGTGTAAGAAGGTGTTCATTTAGTGCGACATTATATCAGTGACTTAAAGGTTAAATTAAGAGGGCGAATTGAAAAGTGAACGGTTGCAAATGGATGTAGAAGCGGCGATAAGATCGCGTCTGACATTCAGCTCCAGCGGTGGAGCAGGTGCATCCAAAGCCAAAGCGGCTGCAATTTATTTAGAACGTGCCCGAAAGGCGTTTGCTCATCGCCCGCAAAAGGGCAGCAAATGGCGGAGGTTAGTGGCGATCTGCCGCCGATTCCGCTCTTTAAACACGGCTAATTGACACATGGACATCGCATGCTGGTGACGGCAGCTCGTCAACGCGGCCACATTGCAGATTGCAGCCATCCATCAGTTGGCTGACAGCCGCCGGTCAACCAGTTGCCATAACCACTTGGCCAAGCCGCTGGGCTTCTGCTTCTGCCTGTCATCTAATGTATGTTTTTCTCTGTTTTTTTTTGCCAACTGCCAACTTTTCAATTTACATGCTGCAAACGGATTGCGGAAATGCTGCACTGGCACTAAATTACTCACAGCCCGCGAATATATTCTATGCGGCAATGCTGGGGCATTGATCATTATTATCATTAGCATCCCAGGTGGGAACTGCTTTACATTGTTTGCTGATTAGTTGTGTGTGCATATCGCTTAATTGCACATACGACGTGTGGGCCAAACGTGTAACTTCAGCCACTTGGGAATCTATTTGGTCAAGGAAAGCGGGATTCCGCTTCGCACGAGGCTTTCCCATGGATAAACTCACTTGAATATATAATCGCGATGTGGAATCTATTTTCTCGAAAATATAAATAACTTTAATTGAATATTTCGTATACCAAGGGGTGTCAGGCATCAATTTTTTTTGCAAGCTTTTTAAACATTCTAAATATATATTACACATAAAACTATTTATAGTTCACCTTCTCGGATATGTCATTAACAATTTGTTATTTTAGTATTCCTAGCCACAATACTTATATACTTATATTTATATATTTCGTATGGCCTCAAGCATTATGATATAAGTTTAGTTGCCCAGTGGTTTCTTATATTTATTACGAAATATGAAAAACTAATTATGTTTTAATATTCCGGATATTGGACATTTTTCTTGTGGTTTTTAATATTAAGTCTTTTAAACTATATCATAAATCCTTGTTTTAATTAAACCCCTGCCTATCCACTTTATTAATGCTTTCCCCTTAAATTTAATGCTACGTATCAGGCAATTTCCGACGGTATTTTATACATGTTGTTCACCCATCAACTGAACTGAAATTTAAATTAATTAACTCCACTAAAGTTTCCGCAATTACCTTGCTGGGTGGTCCTAACCTTCGGGCTCTTCAAGTACAAAACTCGAAACGGCAACAGACACAAAAAACCTGGCCAATAAGCATGTCAACGGCAATTTTGCATGTAAAACAAATGTAATTATGTGTAGCCGGCCCAGCAACTACAAAAAAAAAATCACTCAGTGCAGTTGACTTCAATAAAATAACGGCAAATAATTTGCGTGTTAATTAAATAAAAGGTAAAAGAGCCGCAAAATAAATTGCGGCAACTTGACGACAGCGGAAATTTAATGGACAAGAGGGAGGAGGAGTTGCCAAAAATTGCAGATTACCAAGATGCAACGGAAGATACAGACAATGTTGGTAGAAGCGGAGGAATCGAGTCAACAGTCTGGTTGGAAAATTGAGACAATCAGGCAATGAATCGCTGGATTTTTAAGATGGCCACGGTGGGCTTAAGTTGGTGAAAATAAAATATTTTAGACAAATTTAATTTGATAGGGTTTCTATATTGACATTTAAAATTGTTTTAAACATTTTTTTTACATTTTTTCTAAGCCCATTAATTTACAAAATTTTTTTGTATTAAGCTAAATTATTAAACATTAACTCACTTCCTTTGAATTAGAAAATATTAATAAAATGTCTAACAATGATTAAAGAAATATAGTTGTCTTTTAAAAAAAAATATTTGTAAAAACTAATATTTGGTTTTCTTTTAAAATTGTATGATTTATGGAAAAGATATACATTTTTAAAAAAATTTTTCAGCTTGGCTATGTATTTAATCTCTCCTGCTTCGCTAAATTTCTTAAGGTTTTTGTAATATGTGTAGTACTCTTCCTAAATGCATCTTTTTAGAAAATAGATAATTTCCTTTCGCCTTGGCAACCGCGATAATTACATTCTCTACCTTTATGTGGTTCAACTTCTGTTCTCATTGTGGAAAAATGTACATCAGACTGAAGGTTCTCCTTGGGTTGCCATGGTATGTGGGTCTCCCATTTGCCATGGTTGGTGGCCAGCAGCACCTTGACTCGGTGTGGAACGGCAGGCATTGATCTTGCCCCGATGGTGCTACCAAAATAGCAGTCTATGATTAAGATTTCTAGCCAAGTGCCCGCACTTTTATTGCTCATCGCACGCAGGTTTGCCCCACTCCAAAAGGCACGAGCCGGCTCGCATTGAAGCATCATTAATCGTGCACAATCCAATAAATTAACAATTGTTTGCTTTGTCCGGCTTATTATTAAATAGCCATTATGCAGCAGCTATGTTGCTGCCGTTGGGCGGACTGAGTTGTTAATTACATCAATGAGCTCTTTGCAAATAATTTGTTTTATTAAATCAACAAGTTTTGTTCGAGCGATTCCATAATTAATCATCGAGAATAGAAGTTTGTGCGGAAGTCCGTCAAAAAGTTGAAATATGTTCAACTATGTTGGAGTACGAGCTTGTACTTCAGTTCTAGACAGAATATTGTGTCCGCCCACTGGTCACTCAAGTCGAGGGCCACCCAGAACATGGAATAAATATTGTTTAAATTAATTATAGGTAAAGATGTAGATTTTTTTTTCCATTAAGCTTATAGGTCAACCCACCTCCGGGTATCCACTGAGTTTTGCATACTATAAATAAATAATAATTGTGCAAATCCTCACATTTGTCGGACTCCCCGCTCACATTAGATCACGACCCAGTTTACAGAGTCGGATGCCGAATTGCAGCGTTCCGCTTAGATGTATTTATTTATGACAATCGCCTTTTGAGTGCGGCTTAAATGGCAAACTCGAGTGTCTGGAGCTGAGTTGATTTATGGGCGGTTAGCATTTAATATGCTTAAGCCGATCGCATCGGATCGCAACGGATTGGCCAAGTCGAGTCAAGAAGTTTATGGTGGCAATAAAAATGTTTACGCAAAATGTCTTCATAAAAATCTAGACAGTGGGGTGCTGCTGTTTCATTTATTTTAATTAATTTAATTGGCCCCTGTCTGGGAAAGGAGTTTACTCTTCCATTTGAGATCTCAGTTTTTGCTTCGAATTGTACCATGGCATTTTGTTGGTTTTGTGGGCCTGCTATTAAGACGTCATCGGGTCTGGAAGCGTATGGATTTTACAATGGTTGCATCATTTTGGAGCGGCGGCACCTTAGACAACTCCAGCAGCATTCTGCAACGCCCACACTTGGTCGATGGATGAGGTTCGGCTGGGGCTTCCTACTTATGGATGCCATGTTGTCTTAATTTATGGAATTTTTTCACATTTTTTTCAGCTGCCTCTCAGCGCAGCTGCTTCCCAGCAATTACCAGAGTAACAACCGAAAAAAGTCCCCTACATAGATGTTAGATTAACATGCACTTGCAACACACGACACGACTTCGCGTCGCGACTCGTTCAGTAGAACAACAAACATTTGGTTGACCTTTTCATCGCCATCTCCATCTCCATCTGCATCTGCATCGCTCTGTTGCTCTGTTGCACTGTTGCATGTTGCATGTTGCTGTGCGGTTTTTCGCCTCTTTTTCGCTGCTCTCCCCCAGTTTTGGGGCATTGAAATGCAAATTTGGCAAAATAAAAGTTAATGGGCCATGTGAATGGCAGGCGGCGGGAGAAGAGAGCTTTGCAATGGGAAATGACTTTTATTGCAGTTTGCTGCTTCAGTCTTTTGTTGCAACTTGCCAGCCGATTTCAATCAACTCTTTTTTCTTTCCTTGTGCAATGGGTTTTGAGCCAGAGTTCCCAGCTGTTTGCCAAAGAGTCACGTGCCCGGCGGCCACAAGGACAATGCCAAAGATCAAAGGTTGCCCAGCTTGTCTCACGACTCGAGCTCCTTGGGGATTCGCCTCTGATAAGTCAATTTCTTCTGCAGCAATTCCCCTTAAATCTCGGTAGATCGTAAATTATTAGGTCCCACTCATACACCACATTAACCCTATTTAACCCGAAATAACACACCCACATCAACACAACAAAGCCGCCAGCCAGCCAGTGCATAGAGATATTAACCTTTTAAATAACCAAAAAAAAAACGAGCGAGAAAAAAACGTATAAATTATATGTTACCATCGAATAGTTCAAGTAGTTGTTTATGGTCAGCTATGAATTTGCAAATTGTTCAGCCACAGGCACAATTACTTAAAATGTTATAAAAATCTATGTGGGAGCTTCTTGAAGGGATCATTATAAAGGCGAATTCAGATTTTAAAATATGGCCGTTTAATTTCGAGTAAATGATAAATTGCTAATATATTCTTTTGTTATAAATTTACGAAATTTGCATTTAAATGTTATTAGAAACTGAATTCTGAGATTATGCAACTGATTTATTTTAATAAATTTACAAATAGTTTTAAAAATAGATTCAAATGTTCTGCTAAAACTACAACTACTATGATTGTTTTTATGTGAAAAATAAAACTTTTGAAGTTTTTCCCACATACGCCATTTAAATGTTACAATTTTGGTCAAAACCCCAGTGAACTAATTTTCCAATTGCCAGCTGTTGTGGAGCCGCAAAAACGCCGACCAAATAACACTTGCAGCCAGAATAGTGCAATTAAAAATTCCTCGCCCAAGGGAAACAAGGAGATGGCTCCTCTTATACACATTGCGCATACGCCGCGTTGGACGCTTTGGTTTTGGTTGGGCAATTAGCGGATTCGGAGGCGGAGGCTGGGCTGGGCTCGGCTTTTGTAATCAGCTGAAATTTCGATTTAATTAGATTACCACACACACATACAAAGGCGCAGATGGTTGGCTGGTTACCATTTTCCCTTCCAAAACCCCCCCCACTTGAATTTCAGACAATTCTGCTGCACTTGCCGCTTGCTCAAGCGTCATTAATTTTTTGCGATTTGGGTTTTCTTCGGTTGAATTTTTTTCCTCCGGCATTCAAGCCATTGCCAAAGACAATAAAAACCGCACAAAGATGCAGCAAATATCGGCGAAGCCGCAAAATTGCATACACCCAAGGCAGAAGAATGGGTCTGAGCGCCCGTCGACGACCCCCGGGCTCAATTACCTAAGCACAGATCAGCTTTGAGGCAATGCCAATCGGCAACGGGCAAAATCTGGCAAATCTGCCAAATTATTTCAATTAAAATTGAATTTGTAATGCAACTGGGGAATGATACTAAATGATCGAAGGGGGAATACGCTGCTAAAAAATAAGAATAACTACATAAAAGCAATAAAGTTTGTATATTGAACTTAATGACAAGAGTAGCTTATTTTCTTGTTGATATTTTATCATGTGCTTCTCTTGACATAATGTTTAATCATTCAGATTTTCAGTAAATTGTCAGGCCATTAGAGCAGAGCTTTATGTCATCTATAAAATAATATTTTTTATGTTGAAATAAAATAATAAAGCCAGCTGAAATATAAAGTTTTATTTCAATGGCATCAGGTTTTGAGGCTGTAAATTATTTATGGATTTAACCAAAAGCCTGCCATAATGCATTTATCCTTTTGAAATACTCTTCACATATCCATCATTCATTGGGCAATCGCTCACACTCGAATCGTCAGCAGTCAAGAGACGGCGATGAAAGGGTTTTGACCAGGCATGCGATATATTGGCCATAATCAGGCGGCTCTAATCAGAATCAGAGGCAGCATTGACCCGGCTGTATTCACAATTCCCCCTTCGATGTGGCCAAATTACAACAATTCAGCATTTGCAGAATGCTGAATGCAGAATGCAGGCTTCGACTTTCGGCTTTCGGCTTTGCCAGCTCATCAACAACGGACTCAAATATCAAACTGTGAATATTTTAGCTTTGTCATTTGAAATTCAAAAGCGTGCCCAAACGGCATTCGGTGGCTTCCTATCGCCAGCCATTGCCGCCAATCGTTTCTCGGATTCTTCGTTACCAGTTCTCCAATTTTCGCGTGCGAAAATGAGCAGCTGGATCATCGGCATTAATATGCACCAGCAGTTGGGCATCACTTGGGGTGTGTGTGTGTGTGTGTGTGTGTGCGGGTGGTGTGCGAGTAGTTGGATTTTCCGGCTGGAGGGAAACTGCTGAAATTAACATGTAAAACATGCTCGCCATGATGTTCTCAAAAGCCCGTCCACTCGACTGGCCAGCGGCCATTTGTCTATCGAGTGTCTGCCGCTGGTGGGCGGAAGTTGGGCTCCTGGTTTTTATTTTGGTTCGGGTCCTTGTCTGCTGTTTTTGGCCTCGACCAGGCCAAAACAAAAATGGAGCAAAAAAAGGGCTTTGGGGAAACGGAATCGCGCTGGTGAAAAGTCAAAAAGTTACAAGCGGCAAATTACACGCGTCTGGCTGGAGTTCTACTCTCTTCTCTCAAACTCTATTTCTTTTCTACCGTCTGCGTTACCTTTTGGCAGTTATCTGCTTGGCAGACCAGACGCCCAGAGCTGGAGCAGTGCACTGGGAGAAATGGGTCATAAGTTAGTCAGAAAAATATTGATATCGAAGTTGAAATTGCAGAGCTATTGCAGAGCTATAAACTTTCTCCTTATTTTTGATCAGCGTTAAGCGCATTAAACATACTTTTATGTATGCATAAACGAAAATGAATAGGTTAAAATTTTATAGCGTTCTTTAAAAATTAATATATGCCTAATAATTGTGTCCTCTTGAAAAAAGGATAGCTAATATATTTATAATTGTTTGTTATATTTTCCCTTGGTGCTCGCATAACGAGGCATGGGTGAAAGGACGGGACTTTGGATGGATCCCAGACAGTGCGGTCTTATGTCTGGACCTGCATTGCATCCAAGTGTCGCACCAACAATTTAACACGCCCCAGTTACAACAAAAAGAGCAGCCAGCGACACTCAAGTCTGTTTTATTTTGTTGCCTGCTTAAGGGCGTCGTCCCAAAACGCGATTCAAAATGCTTTAACAAAAGCGAGCAAGTGAAAGTATCCTGGGTTTTGTAAATGTGGAGTTGATTGCGGCTTAAGTTTGTGATAACTGAAAGGTTGACCCTCCCTGGGAATGTATACAAATGTGTAACTGAGCAACAATATCACTTTCAATAGACGAGAAACTTCTCAAACTCGAAACACCTTCCTAAGTTGGTATGGATTACATTTGTATCCAATACTAACTTTTTTAAATTACATAATTTAATTTTTTAGGTAATCATTAATTTATAAACCCGTTAGATTTATAAGGATAAATCATATATATATAAGGATAAAACTAACTCACTAAGTTTTAACTTGAGTTAAAGCTTCTTAAAAATTTGAGGGAAGGATGCTAACAAATTATTTAAGGTTATTTAAAGTTAGTTTATAATAAACAATACACCTTTTCAGTTTGCCCTTTAATTTGTATTTAGAAAATAGATATGGGAGTGTAGTTAGGGAAGTGTAAATTTTCGATAAATAGGCGGAATAATTGAATACAATATTTTGTTCATTTCCATTAAGAGCAATCGGAAGTTTTACAAAGAAAATTCCGAGTAAGAAAACTTCAGATTGCCAAAACTATATTTACATTTGTCAGAAGAGAAAAAGGGCTTGCAATTTTCTTCAGATGGGACCTAAATGCGAAAGCGAAAAAATGTTACCAACATGTGTCCCCCGCCTGCTAACCTTTTAGCCTCCTTCAGTTAAGTGTTTAGTTGGGAACAATCAAGGGATATTGCTTAGATCTGGGGCGTATTTTACGTGGCTCTTGGCACGCACAGATGTTGCCAAATATTGTATTTGTATCCGCACAGAGGAGTACATATATTAACCAGAGCGGAGTGGAACACTTAAGTGTCTTCGATTATTTGCAATTTGTTCGAATCGCCGGGGTTACTTTGTCCCCTTCGCCACTTGACTTTCGCATGTGGATTTGGATGATGATGAGAGGCTTTGTGGCAGACGTGTGGCAAGTTATGCAATCGTTTTCGTTGCCATTGACGGCAAGTGTTACAAAAAAGAAAACCTAACTGTTTGCCAGCCACTTGAAACTACCAGTTTGATGGGTAGTTTCCCTCAGTTTCCCTGACAAATCCCATTTAAAGTTCCCCTAAGCCGCAGCAGAAAAATGACATTGTATCCGAAAAAGGACACTGAGTGACCACCAGCCGTTTTCCTGCCAGCGATAAACAAATTTGACATATAACGAGCTTAACTTGCTGGCCTTTCCACATAGTTTTGCTTTAGCCAAAGGACATGCCTGCGAAATCTCATATGATTTGTTTGGCCAACTGATTTATTTAGGCTTAGCTTTTTTCTCTTCAAAATAGATGGCCTTGTTTTGTTTAAAAATACTTACAAGCAGCACGAACGACTTGAAGGACATCATGTTGTTAGTTGAGTTTCGATTTTATCTTCAAACGATGGCAAAAAATAATGTATCCACAACGCCGCTGGCTGAAGTTGAAATCGAATTAAATTTATTAGATTTTTGGAACTAAAATCAGAGCTTGGTTTTATATTTATTTATATTTTTGGTTTATTTATTGCACATCATTTAATTTGCAGTCCTTTTGGCACTGTGGTTTTATTAAAAAACTTTGACTCTTACTTTCACTGGGCGATGGGGGGGTTGAGGGTTTTTTTTCGAGGGAGGATATCTCAACTATGAAAATCTATTAAGGAGTAGTTTTTTTTATTCGGCTGTTTTGATTTTCCTAGACAACCGCACGAAGTACACGAACGTTTTGAATTAGGTTAGACAATGGAGATGCGCTTGCTTTTTATAATAAACGCTCGTGACGCTGGCAGCGGCGGCGACAGCGACGGCGACGGCGGCAGCGACGGAAGCAGCGGCGTTCGCGTTGCCAACTGCACCTAAAAGTAACAACGAAAAAGCGGTTTGAAAAATTGAGGCAAGTCTAGCGCCTAACTTCTAGATCATCTGCCCCAGCCGCTCATGGCGCTCAGAATGGCCAAGAGAGAGAGAATGGCCTGAACGCTCTCTGTTGGCCAAGTGTTGAGGTGGTGAAAAATGTTGCAGATCATCGTTGAGGCACGATCATTGCGACGCTGGGGAGCGCGATGATAAATGAATGGGTTAGACGATGATGAAGCCGGGGCGGATGTATAACAAGTCGGAGCCTGCAACGCCCCGAATGACTTCATTAAATACTTGGCCATTAAATACTCGGCCAAATTTGATATTTAAGCTTTTATGAGGCTGGCCCTCGGGCGCTGCAGTTGAAATCGAGACGAGACGAAAATGTCACTGGGAATGTCAGATGATAGGTTTCGGCGACTTGGCTTCCAAAGATACAGTCGCCCTTTCTGTTTGATTTTTCTTATTTTTGGTTTTTTTTTTTTGTCTGTTTGCCTTTTGGGAAAGCAGCAGAAGCAGAACATAGAATAAGTTTTGGTGAGAAATACGTGATGCGGCTGCCTGGGGAAAATTGCACAAGCTGCAAACGTGTTCATGTGGCGTCCCAATTTCCCGCAGCACCTCTACCTCTGCCAAAATGCAATCTATGACGTGAGGCTCATGCCAAAGAGTCGAGGGCCCAAACTTATCCATTGGCCATCATTGCACAAGGCTCGAAGACGTGTCGAGGGCTTTGAGCCGACTTCCTCCTTCCTTTCTTCCTTCCTTCCGTCAGGCATCAAATCCCATAACCAATTAACCTTGAATGTATCATATATTTCTGTACCATCCGAGATTAAATAACAATTAAAAGCAATCTATTTTCGATGACTGATTTCAGAGTTTCTTCACATTTTTATTGACCACTTGCGAGGTGATGATGTGTGCGTGCCTGCGATATTAAAATTAGATATTGAAATTATGATGGGAAGCAACCAACCGAAAAATAACTACACTTTCAAAGAGCTCATCTTACAGTCAGTGGTGGGAATATTTGTGTACCTAGGTAAAAAAGCTATTTTAATATTTTAAAGATTTTTGTTTCATCATTTTTAGTTAACTGTGGAGTTGTAGGTTAAAAAATAAAAATGTCCGTTGATGGCAAGGATATCAAAATATCCAGATTGCTTGTTTTTATTTAATTTGTAATCTAATTACAGGAATGTTTTATTATTGTGTGATTTAAAAAAGTTCTGAGGTTAAATTGAATCGGGGTCACCAATCGCTTAATTCAATTGAATATTAAAATATATATATTATTATAAATTTTTGAAGATTTCTTTCGACAATCTGCAGTAACAAAAAGGTTATAAAATTTTCCAACGATTTTATACTTGTATCATTAGTTTATTTTGTATATATTAAGTATATAATTTGGAACTCATTTTAATAATAATTTTTATTAACTTTTCAGATAAAGTATATAATATAAAGACAAGATAAAAGGTACCTTATTTTGTATATATTTAGCCCTTTACTGTGTACCTTATGTGCTGAAAAGAGTACCTTTTCCATCAACTCTTACACCTGCTGCCATGGTCCAATGGACCGCTATGAAAAGTAATTGAACAACTTTTGGTTACTTTTAACTTTTGATTTCCGTGACACTTGAGCTGCGGAGATGTGTGTGAGCCCCGAACACACTTCTTCACGTGGAGGCGAACGTACTGTCAAAACCGTCTTAACAACATAATACCCGCCAACAATCGGGGCCACACTGAAATTTCTTTGAGCCGCTCTTCAATGAAGTGCATTTTGTGGTAGCTGCGATTACGAAAATATTTCGACTTAAAATGTAATTAGAGCAGTGTGATGGGGCGAATTTTATATAATAGCGCCAAGTGCAAGTTGTGTTGAAAATTTCCTTTTGATTCGTTCAACAATAACTTGACATCAATTGGGCAACTTTTGTTTCGCTGTCATTGCCTTGGCAGCTGTTGCCGCCGTTGCAGTTTTGGTTTCTTCAGTTTTCGATCATTTTTCAAAATGTCCAAACTAATAAAGTTTTGCAAATTTCCCGCTTAATTCATCAAGTGGACACTTGAGAGCTCCAAGCGAAACGGAAGCAAAACTTAGTCAAACATCTCGTGGGCTTCAATAGCCATTTGTGTTGTTTTTTTTTTGTTGTCGCCCATCTGTTGACATTTTAAAGTTTATTGAATTGTTGCACCAAGAAGAAAAAAAAATTAACATTTAAAAGAATAGACTCAAATTCTGCAGCAGAAGCATTTAAGATGATTTTTCCTCGAATTTGTTTTACCCATTTCGTGCAACATTCAGGCGAATCACCTGTTGATGGTTGTTGCTGGTTTTGTTGTTATTGCTGATGGTGTTGTTGTTGTTGCTGGTAGTGTTGCTGTTGCCGTAGAACCAAAATACATTCCAATCCCCAGCAAGGCGCACCTTTTTTAAGCTAAAAATGAGTGAATTAGAATAGCCAACTATGTAATTGCCGCATTTTATTGCCACCAGCAATGGATGTTGCTGTTGTAGTTGCTGTTGTTGCTGCTGTTGTTGCTGCTGTTGTTGCTGCTGTTGTTGCTGTTGCTGCTGCCATGGCTGGCATTGTTATTGTTGTCTCGACTATTGTTGCAACTTAGCCTAATGCTTTTGTTGCTATTGCGGCTTCTGTTGTTGTTGTGGTGGCTTGATGTTGCTGCTGTGCTTCCAACTGTTGCTGCCGCTGTGGCCCTCTGAATTTGGTGTGAGAAGTGGTCGAAGACGCGGCGATCTTTGTTTTATTTTTGTTTTAAGTCCAGACGAATGATTTGCATTTTTTTCGGCGCAGAGGCGCGTTTTTTTCCATTTGCTATTTATAGACTAAATGTCTTGGACTTCTGATGGAATAAACGGAGTTTCCGATAGACTCATGGTGAAGGCGCATCAAATGTCGTTCGATTTGCTTGGCATTTCCCCATGATCATATCTGTTACACAGAAAATAATTTAAATTATATAAGAGATAATATTCAAAAGATAATATTCAAAAAATAAAATGGAAAATATTTATTTAATCTTTTAATGCTAAAACTTAAAATATAAATATGATCTAAATAAATGCAAATATATAGGGATTTCTTAATAATGTCCTAATTTTTGAATGCTTGGAGTTAGCAAGGTCACATTTTGAATTTGTGGATTGTAAGTCAAATTCAAATCCGCTTCAGGAAGGCCTCACACATTTTTTGTATATTAATTGTTTGGAATTTTTCTTGAGGTTTTAGCTTCTGAGCAATCACGTTTTCTGCTTTTCTCATTAAAAACTTATAGTGTAATGATCATTTAAAGTTGCTAAAGGCTGCTTTGATTGCTTTCATTACGGCCATCTCCTTCCTTCTGATTTGATTTGATCTCTTTGCCGGAGTTTCCTGTTGATTGCTCTCATTATTCCAGCGAGCAACTGTGATAAGTTTTTCCAGCGCTGCTGCAACAATCTTCGGGCTAAAGTCGAGCTTTCCCTGTCACTTGCCACACTTGCCACCATTTTTCTTAATGGAAATTTTCATGCTCTTGGCTTTTCTTTAGACAAATTAAGCGAATTTTTTCTTCGTTCACACCTTCTCCAACTTGTGCATCCTCATTGTCATCGTCATCTTCTGCACTTGCGTTCATTGCACCCAAAAAAAGAAGAGAAGAATGAATTCGAGGCAGGCCAAGTGAAGGAAAAAGTTGTGGAAAACTTTGCACCTAACATAAATCACATCTCAGACCACGCTACCCGCCCTTCGGCCACGCCCATTCGCAGTGTGTGTGTGTGTGTGGGTGCATTTGCATATTCCAATTTTGCATTTAATCAATTTACACCCATCCACACAAAAACACTGCAAAATAATGGAGGATGGTAACTCTGGCAGCTAGACAATTACCCGCATTCCCTGACATCTCCTGCCTGCTCACATCATTTATCCTTGTTAATTTTTATTTAGCCAGCTAAGGAAAAAATCCCTCAGCTCTCGTTACCCTACAGGATTCATCCCGGGGATCTTGAGCGATTGAGCCGTAACCTGCGCTGACTTGTTTACGTGTTTTCTCTGAAGCACGGATACAAAAGCGCAGATACAGATACCCGGATTCACTCCGGCTCTGTGGGTGGCACCTGTAGTCCATCCGGTCCAAATAGCTGACTGCAACAGACGTTGAACAAGTTAAGCGGAAACGAGGACAAAGGACATTTTTGACTGAGACACACGTCCCACGCAGACTGGTATTAACCTGCAGTCAATTAAATGCGCTCTGAATCAAGTAAATCAATTCCATCAATTCTCTGTGTATTTTATTTAAGTGGTTCTACTTTTAAAAGTGTTCTAAAAAATCTGTGGTTGCAAAATTGGAAATAAGATAGCCATAAACCTTAGTTTTAGATTAGTGCAAATCATTTCCATCCTTTAGATAAAAATAAAAATTGCAAGTTACTAGTAAAAGTTAAAGATAGTTTTTATTATTGTTTGGCTGTAAATGTTTTTTTTATAAATTTTACTAGATTCATTGATCATAAAATGAAAAATGAAGCCCCTTGAATATTTTTATTTTTAGACTGGTCTAACAACTTTTAATTAAACGATTGTCCCAATTGGCTTAATATTAGTTTTTTTAACTAAATATTTTGTCTTATTTACTTTACTGCCAGATGGCTACCTAGCCATGGATAAACTCTTAAATAATGCTAAAATTAACGACATTAAATTAAGGGAAACCGCAAAACTAAATTATATACCCCCACCTTCGAATCAAGGAAATTCTCCAAATAGCTTTGCCAAATTCTCGCTGCCAAAATTTCACACATTTTGATCAGCAGCAGATAAATTCCCCCGCATATATATATCAAATACAGGGGCTGACAACATTTGGCCAAGTTCTGGCAGGGCATTAGCCACGCCCCTAAGTTGCTTATCAATTGCAATGTGAGCCCACCGAAGTTGGCTCCATAACTTGCTGGTGCAAAAAAAAAATAAACGAAGATGGGAGGGAAAATCCAAGGCATTTAACTTGCAATGACAGTCCCCTCACATCGCCCCTGGCAAGCGACTAATGGTCAAAACTTATCGTCAAACTTAAATGGGATTTTATTATCGTCGCCGAAAACTTCAACTTCGCTGCTCCTTAGCCATCTTTTTTTTTCTCATTTTTTGGGGCCTTCACATGCAGCCTGAGAATGGGCTTGGTCTCAGGGTTTTGGAGTTGCGAGGGCGTGGAATATAATTTTTCTTCTTTTTTTTCGCCACGCCTAATGCGCTGATTTATATATAATACCATAATTATAATGCACTTGGTTCTCATGGATTGCCCCACAGAATTCATACCACAAGTTTTGAGGTCAGCCCACATAAATCTTGTCAAAATTGTGCATTCTTTCATACTTTTGTTTTAATTAACTCAAGAATTGCTTAATTACCCAGAGAAAAAAACAAGAAATCGCACAAAAAAATTGCTCACAAAACTCATAAGAAGTGCAGCGATGTGAGTGACGTGTGCATCTCTTGGCCTGGTCGCGTTGGCAATTAATGTCAATCAAGTTTGGTAAGATACGGGTACCAACTTGGGCAGGCCATCCGAGCCATAATAACTCAGAAGGAGAACGTACAGTTCTGAAACAAATCATTTTCATACTTTTTAATGTCAAAACAATTAAACTATCGAAAATTAAAAACACAAAAAGATCATGTACCGAATTGTTTATGCCACAGTGGCAACAAAAAGCTGCTAAAATACACTGTACTGCCACTCCTGTCTAAATGATTTAATTAGAAATTCTTCTGCGGATTATTTTTTGCAAAGCTTAATAAATTATTCAGTAGAAGGAAGAATGAGCATCTGATACTTTACCGATGAAACCATTAATATTTTTGGCTTTTCCACTCCGTGTGAAGACTTATCTGACTGACTGTTTGGGCCAGCCACTTAAATTAGTTAATGAGCTCTGCATGAGTTCGTCATGAAAAACCAAGAAACCTTAAAAACAAAAACAGAACAAACGCAAAAATGCAAAGCCAAAAGCAGCAGAACAAATACAAAGAATAATGCCAAAGGCAATTTGAAGGTGCGGAGTCGGAAAGTGGCAAACAAATTGGCCAACGACAGAAACAAGCCAACAACAGAAGTAAGCGAAACTGAAATTTGTTTCTACAATTGTTGGCAACATTGAACTTTAAATGGTAGCAGAGCCACATGTGATTGCGATTCTCGATCTGTGGTTTATTCTGTTTATACATATTTCTGTATCTCCGATGACATCGAAATTCTCGGGCCAAGTACATCACGTCGATGATGATGATGATGATGATGGGGCATAAAAGCCATTGCGATCGATCGATTTTCCAAGCAGGCAAATTAATTAAACTACAATTTTTGGAGTACAAGCCATACAAATTGCTGAGAGCACCCAGCAGAAACACCTTGACCTTCGCGGATGATAAATGGTTTATGGATGGGCGAAGATCGCAAGAAGAAATTTTGCTACAATTTTAATTAAAGCCAAACAAGACCGCGAGCACATCAAAATTGGTTAGTACTCGGACCGCAAAAGTGGCTGCACTTAGGAAAAATGTAATTGTTTACTATAAATTTAAAATAATTTATTTTATTTTTTTTTTTGGTGGTGCTCACCTTTAATTTAATTGTTATTCTGTTAAGCGGTCATATGTTTAAAAAGGCAAAAAAAAAAAATACACAACTTTGTAATGAGGTGTTATAAATGGTAAGTAAATGGGTAATTAATAAAGAACGTGATTATTGTTCATAAAAAAAAATCTAACTACCTTATAATTATATATTGGTGTTGATAAACAAAAGCAAAACCAAATACTTCCTTTTTTATGACTTTTTCCCCCATAACATATTTTTAAAAATTAAAAAAGTCTGCAAACATTTTTAAAAATAATTTAAAAATTGTTGACAGAAAGAAATGATTAATACAAATTAAGTTATATGACTTTTTCTTAAAATGTACTGTAAACAAAGACTTTCTTAACATATTGCCAAAACTCAAGGGCGATTTTCTAAATATAATTAATCTAAGTTATTATTCTGCGTGTGGGAAACAAAAGCCAAAACCATAAAAGGCCAAGCGGAAGCGAAAGGTCACTATCAAGGCTTGAATAATTGCTCAGGTTGTGCGTTAAACGCACAATAACGAACATTTAAAAGTCAATTATGGAAGAAAAGGCGAACGGAGCAATGCTCATCTGCCAATTCAATATTCGAAGGTTTGCCTCCAATCAATTCCGTCAGGCATTTCGCAGTCGCCTTGCTGAAAGTTGCTCAATTTGTCAGAGACCTCCGTTCACGCATGCTGTCAGTAATTTATTGATTTCACTTTATTGCACATCGATTAAACACATTGGTTGGCATTGTTTGTATGCATTATTGCACAGGCTCCTTTATTTAAAATACATTTTTCATGAGCTTAAACTAATTTGAGCAGTGCTCAAGTAACCATAAATGAGATGGAAATCACTTAACATCTAGGACAGCATTTGAACAAGAATGGAATAAGCATAATGTCATTATTTGGTATTTAGTTGAACAATAAAACAATGAATGGCCATTGTGAGGCGTGTGTTCTGTGTGGAATTTATAATGTTTAAATTGTAAATGGTACATAAAAAGGTTTATACTTTGGAGTGCAAGAATTTATACTGAGATGTTTATGATGTCCGAAAATGAATCTAAATATATTTTTGGTTTAGGATAACTTTACCTTAATAAAAATTCAACAAATTACTTTCTAGTAAAAAAAAGGACAAGAATGGAGCCTATTCATTTTTAGTGTATGTTCTAAACCTTAGTAAAGCCAATACTTTTTCCTCAGTGGTAACAAATTAATTTTGGACAATGAAAATTATGGGTACTAGTTTTAAGGTTTTTAAAATTAAAATTTATGAAATTTTTTTGTTTAAGCCAAATTTAAAACATATTTTTTGTGTCAGAACTTATGTAAAATATTATCTAAATCGGTTTGTATCATTTCAAAAAATAATCTTAACATTACTAGAAGTGATTTCATTTTTAAGTAATTCGGAGCTGTTTGTTTAAGAATAAAATTAAAATAGATACAGGCTGAAAGTTATTTTCTTCACTTAACTTGGCTACTTAATTCTTTCGCATAACCTGCGAAAATCATAAGCCAAGTTAAGAACTTATTAATGAGTCAATGAAGAAGGCTCGTTTAATCGATGAAGAGTCTTCAATTAACTGACACTAATCTGTGGGTTATTGCACATTTTGATTTTTTTTCGAGAGGAAGATCTTATGGCTAACTTAAGTTATATTGCACATTAGGCCGCTTGGTGTAGACCAGATTCAATGTTTCGCGCCACTTTCGAAGCTGACGTCCGCATGGAAGCCCGAATCGTCGGCGTGGTAGATTACATTCTGTATCCTTCCGTCCGGCAAGAGGATATGGTACTGGCCGCGTGTCACTCCGTGCAGATCACGATTCTGCTTGTGGCCAAAATCGTTGCCGGTATGGAAATCACGTATGCGATAACCGAACGCATACTTTGAGGCGTACTGCTGCAGCTGCAACGAAACACACAAAAGGGACGAAGGGGGGCGGGGAATAAGTTAGTTATGTATTTGCGTAGATTGTTCAGTAAACCGATAAGTTGCATTCAGCAAAAGGGGGCAGGATCCGGTTTTCGGCACCAAAACCAGCACCGCCCATATGCACATTTCACTTCCAAACTGCTGCAGTGGGGAATTCGTGCGCATGCTGAAAAGTATGCGATGCAAAATGCATTAAGCACACTGTCATGTACAGTGAAGACTGAAAGCGACAACTGGAAGACGCGCCGTGACAACAGTGGCTTAAAAAACAGCGAACATATAAGAACATTTTGTGATTGCTAGATTGCACACCCTTCGTTAAGAAGTTACATGGGTTTTACGGGCCGAAAGCAAGCTCGTTTTCAATTTCAATTAAAATCAATAAATATTATTGTACACTCTTCGTTAAGAAGTTACATGGCTTTCACAAGCCGAAAACAAGCTCGTTTTCAATTATGAATAACATCAAGACATATTATTGGTTAGTATTCAAAAAGATTTTTCATTTAAAACTAGAAAAACTTCCGCAGCTTGTATCCTTTTTTTAAGACATCCAGAATATCAAAACAAGTAAAAGAACTATCCGAAATTAAAAATAAATATGGTTTATCAGTATATCATAAATTGATTTTAATGAACAAAAAAATTAGTATACTTAAGTTTTTGGCTGACACTTTTCAAGATACAAAAAATGTAGCTAACAAATTGTAATAGTTTTAAATTTATAAAATTAGATGAAATTAAAAACTCATTCTCCAAGTGTTCAATTAAATGGCTTTAAGTAACAATGAATTAAGGTCATTGTAGGGCTTCTTTTGAGGAATTTCCCCAAACATTGTATTAAAACCACATAGGAAAATCAAACTGGAAATTATATAATTTAATTAGTTTTCAAGTAACATGTAGGGTGTCAAAAGGGACTACTTTATTAAGTTAATTCTCTGAGATGCAATCCAATTGCGGTAATACAAAGGCTGAAAGGATAACAAGGGTATGTGCAGTGCTCCACTCGCGCCAATGAAGTGCAAAAGCAGAATTGGGTCTTAGCCGATTTCGGGGGCAGCAGGAGATGGAGATGGAACTGGAACTGAAGCTGGTGAGGATTGGGATTGGGCAGCGGGGAGTGGGGGACACGAGGTTGTCTGTCACTCGCACGGCTCGGTTTGTTATGCATGCGATTGTAAATTGTATCGTAATGAAATTTGCAACAATATACGAGACCAGTCCCCGAGTCCCCGATTGAATCCGAATCCCCTCAAAATCTGTGGCATTCTGTATGCAGCATTGCTGTCGTTTTGTTGTGTCCTGAACAATTTTGGTTTTGCCTTTTTATTGTAAGTATTTCGCATTTCAGCCAGATGAAAATAAAATAAGCAAAGCGGATGTGTGCTCGCGGGTGTGAGTGTGCGTTTCCGTTTCCGCTCATTCAAATGTTTTCGGAATCCCGACGACAATTGTTGCCAACTTTCGCTACATGTTTTGGGCTGCTTCTGCGGTTTTTATGGCCTGCCCTAAGATTTGTGCTCTGGGGTAGGGGGCGTGGCAAACTTTTTGATATGTTAATGAGTTGTAAATTAAGTTTAATTAAGTTACATTGTTGACTAGATTTAACTCACTGAAGGGGAAATGTTATTTCGTGTGACAGAACAAAAGTTTTTGGGGGCCTTAGAAAATGTATAGACCTGGCAGAAGTGTTTTCTTTTGATGGCAAGCCTGATTGACATTTGTTCTACGGAGTTTTCCCCCAAAGAAAGAGACTCGATTTGATTGCAGTCTCCCCATTCCACTTTCAACTTTCTACCGCCAACGCGTTAAACATAATTAATAAATTCTCTGCTCCAGCAATTTGCCAACATTTGCACTCTCCTTCATCTCCTAATGAAATGCAAAAAAAAAATGTATATCTGCGATGGTAAGGGCTTCATTAGAAGCACGGCAAAAATGTTAATAGATTTCTATATGTCTGGGGGAGAAAAATGAAAAATGAAAATAAACTGCAACAGCGGATGAGTATGCAAATTTGTGGGCAGAGTCCAGACAAGATTCAACATTATACTGCCAGGCTCTGCAGTTTGGAATTTCATTACCAGTTGGTTTGATTATATCGAACATAATTACATTGCAGATGAAACATGTTGGGAGGGGGGCGGGGGTGGTGCTACATAAGTCCGAATGTTTGCCTGGAAAAAATGTAGGAGCCAGCGAAGTGGAATCCGAATCAGATCACGTGCCATATTGAACTGGACCCTTTTCCCGATGACGTGGCCAATTCCACTTTTTTTTTTTTGCGCCCCGTCGCCATCCGATGGCTATGGATGGATAAATAGATAGATGGCTGGCCAAATATGACAAAAGTGCCGCTGCGAGCCAAGTTTATTGCTGGATTCCACGGACACTTTTTTGCATTTAACACGTTTCCCCTGCCGTTGGCTTTTAGCGAATTGTGCAGCGAGTCGAGTGCAAAATGCAATTGCAGGCCGAACTACGTGAGTTCGTTTAGTTGCGAGTGAGCGATCAGATGGCCGAAGTATGTCCAAATTGACATGCCGAGCAGCTCCAACTTTCTTTCATGGCGAGAAAAGCAATAAGCCATCTCCCCATCAGCTCCATTGGTAACTTAATGCGCACTTCCGAGCCACCCACTTCCTTTGGCCAAAAGGGAAATGCTTTGACATCGGACATCCAAGGCGTTGGCTGACTTTTATTTCTTTTAATTTGCATGTAATCAGCATTGTTATCCCCTGGCCCCCGATTGCCCCTACCCCCCAAAAACCCCGTGGCTTTGTCATTTCATCTGCGCTCATTAAAATGTTTTTGCCTTTTGTTTGCCCTGCGGCATTGGCCTGGCCTTAACCTTTCCCCTGACCACCATGCCACCATACTCCACCCACCACCCACCGCTGCCCTTGTGGTTAACCCTTGCGGCCGGAGGGGCCAGGATGTTCATTATCCGTGGGTGTGGCTCAAATCATTGTGCGACTGGATTTCATTGTGATTTTCCACTTAATTCGATTTGTTGTTTGCCTGTCAGGTTTTTGCGGTTGAAACATCAAGAAAAGTTGACCAACCACTGACAATTATTAAGCCCCCGGGCGGTCAATGAAAAATAACCATAGTCGAGTCAGTAAATATAAAAGAAAAATGAGTTTTAATATTTATAATTATTCAAATTAATTTTTAATTTAAATTTCCTTGTCTTTAAGGCTTAAAGCTTATTGAAAGATTGAAATGCGTGCAAAATGCATGTAGTGAAAGGTGAAATTAGCAGGGCATATATCTAACTACTCTACTCACAACAAAATGATCAAACAAATAATTTAAATTTATATAAAATTATATACAATCAAGCCCTGGTGTACCAAACGTATCTTTTGCATATATTACAAATACCAATCGCCGAGATAAATTACAAGAAATTAAATTGGATGGCAGACAGCATTAGATTTTATGGTATTAAATTTCCACATGACTCCAGTCTGGTGAGACCCCACTTAATCTCGTTCTTAGCCATTCAAATCGTTGCGTTAGCTACCCTCTTCAATTAGCTCATGATTTGCACTCAGCCGGAAAGGATTCCGTACTCCTTTCCCCCAGTGCCATAACACTAATCCTTGTTGGGTAACTAAAGCCGCCCAGAATCCCTGCCACGCCCCATTCCCCCATCCCCACCTCCCCCCTTCCCGATCCGATGCCTGTGCCCCCAGTGTGTTGCGTTTATTATTCACACAATTCGTTTAAGCGCTGCAAACACCTCGTACCGAAGCCCGAAAACCTCAAGGGACACAGGCAGAGATTGCTGGCCAGGATGAGGATTGGGGGCAGGATTGGGGGCAGGATTGGGAGAATGTGGCAGTTGCAGCTGCATGCTCATTTAAAATTGAACAAGAGTTGGGACCGAGGATGGTCAGCAACCGAGTCGGTCCAAATCGCATTTAAATGGAAATAAATGTTGTGTCCAAACAATTTACAAAAACCAATTTTACAATGTAATGCGTTCGGAGCTGCTTCAATGCCATGTGCTTGTGGGTGAGTTGGATGTCTGGATGCTGAGCTGTGGGGCTTTCCGGAGTGGAGTGGGGGGTGTGAAAATCCCCATCAAGTGGAACGTGTTCAACAGCGTTCGTCAGGCAAATGGATGTCCTGGGCTCGTTGATGCCACACGGCAGCCATTGACACAATTGCCGCTGCTGCCTTCCGACGAAACTTTTCGGCCACGCAATTATGACCGCTGCAGCTCCAGATCCGAAAAGAGCACAGAACGATGATTAGACCGACGGACCTCCAACGAAAATTGTTGTATAATTTTCAGGGGGGGGGGGGGGTAGAAAAGTGGGAAAAATTTTAAATGCAACCACCCACAGTTTTTATGGCTCGCTTGTTAGCAATTTTCATTTTTGCGAGCTGGTAGAGAGGCGTCTCTAACCAAAATTGAGTTATCAGTTTGTTGGCTCTGCGCTCGGGCTGATTGCGTGACAGCTGCTGCTCCTGGAACTCCTGCTCCTCCAAGTCCTGCTCCTCTCTGCCTCCCCAACCCCACATCCTTGTTATCCCGGAGAATCGGACCTGCAGGAGCGGCAGCTGAAAAAAAAATCCATCTAACGAAATGGCAGAGCAGCAAGAAAAATGTCAAACTACGTGATTTTTATGCGAATGTGACTGTCAATACGTTGCAAACATCATTGGAATAGGAATAGGAATAGGAATAGGAATAGGAATAGCAATGGCAATGGGATGGAGCTACATATAGTTTTTCCCTTTCTGGGAGGGTCGAATTATTAGCCGTCCATGTAGTTGCAGTCGGGTGGCTGTGGTTTATTATGGGTAGCGGATGAAGTGAAGCTAATTTAAAGTCAACCATCGGGTCAGATGTGCTGAGCCAAACTGAGGGAAATCGACACCAATTTTGGGCTGCCTTGTTTAAGGCTCTTTCAGTTGCAAATTTCTTTAAAATGAAACACACTGGAAGCCCATCA